ATATTGTGAATATTTAATCATAATATTAATAAAAACATATATCGTTTGTGTTTTTACCCACTCATTCGCAAAAGTTATTATTTTTTAAAAATGTGTTTTCTCGGCAACCTACATCACAAATGTTGGTTTTTTGGTACTGAAATGAAGAGAAAACCTTAAAATAAGTATAAAGTGGTAGAAAACGGGAATGATATTATAGAATATTTAGATGAAATTGAAATAAATAATGGATTAAATACAGACAAACGTAAAAATTTATATAATATTTTTATAGAATACTTAAACAATTTAAATAGAGAGCATGCACAACAAGTTTTCAAATTTATATGTGGAAATATTCATATACCTCCAAAATTTCCAATATCTGTGAGTAAATGTTTTTAATATTTTATATTTAAAGAAATTTATTAAATGTTATTTTACATTTTATATACCAGATTTTGTTCTAAATCATCACCATTATGTATACTACCAAATTCATCAACATGCATTAACCAGTTGGTATTGTCTGATACATATGATGATGATGAGATGGATATTTTCATCAATGATTTGAATGCTTGCTTTTCTTGCTGATAATGTTGGTTTTCACGAAGGATGTCTAAGTTAAATAAAATTTAATTAATTTTTTTATTGAGTTCATCATACAAGGAAAATTTTTTTTCTATTGATTCATTTCAATGGTATTGTAATTACAATTTTTGTTCTTGAATAAGATAAGAGAATAAAAGTAATGACATTTTTGATGTATCACATGATTATATGTTTTTGCATGTAAGGATTACGGGTATAATTTAGATTTACTATTTATTGCAGTGTTGACAAATGACTTCAAATGACTTGTGAAATGACATAGACATATAATATTTTATTATTAATTTCATATACCAAATGACCTTGGTCATTTGAAAAACAGCAAATGACATTGTAATTGTCAACATATATGATGATAAATATGATTTCATATTAGTTACAGTTTACAATCCATTATTTACGATAAAACGTTGCAACTATTTACAACAAAACACTGCAACTTTTTGCGACAAAATGTTGCAACTTTTTACAACAAAATGTTGCAATTAATTACGACAAAATGTTGCAACTTTTTACAACGAAGTGTTGCAATTAATTACGACAAAATGTTGCAACTTTTTACAACGAAGTGTTGCAATTATTTACGACAAAATGTTGCAATTAATTACGACAAAACGTTGCAATTGATTACGACAAAACGTTGCAATTATTTACGACAAAACGTTGCAATTATTTACGACAAAATGTTGCAATTCATTACGACAAAATGTTGCAATTGTTTTTTTACAACAAAATGTTGCAATTAATTACAACAAAATGTGGTACACTTTTGTCCAGCATGGCGTGCCATAATAGTGTTTTTGAAGATTTAAATAAAGTTGTAATAAAATATGTGAATGATAGTGGCATGCAGGTAACTGTTTTATAATATTAATTATATTATTTCATTTTCTATTACTTATATCATCATCTATAATAGAAAGGGTTGTCAGAAGAAATTCAACTAATTAGAAGGCATATGAAAAAAGGTTGTGAAAATGAAATAAGGAATAATATTGATAATGGACAATTAAAGCATGATAGGTGTCTTGATCATTGTTTATTACATGCTTTTGGTGAATGTAATGATGAACATAATTTAAGATGTGCGAATTGTTTAAAATTTCATAATTTTTTCGAAAAATTGATTAGATTATTACCAGAAAATGAATCGGAGAATATCAAAATTTACAGACAAAAATTGTATTATTATTTGGCACATCAAACAAGAAAGGTGTATTTAAATACTCAATTTAAATCTAATTTATTAGAATTGGATAAGAATGGTGCTATAATAATTGTAGATTATAAAATGAGGATATTACCAAAGACAGCTCAAGAGACCAAAACTGAATTCTTTGGAAAACGTGGATGGACATTACATTCAATTTTAATGTATACCAAATTTGAAAATCAAGAAGATTATAATATAACTGCATATGATTATTGGTCTGATGATACAAAACAAGATGCATGTTTACAGCATCTTCTTTAAGTGCAGTTTTTGAAACAATGTTAGAAAAACCAAAATTAATAACAATTATTATAATTCATAAATGGATTTTTCTTGAAGCCAGTGAAGCAAAAACTACAATTGATTCTCACCATGTTCAGGTAAATCTTTTATAAATTATTTTTGTATCATTTTAATTAATTAATTAATCAATTTCAACTTTTATAGATTGCACATTCAATTAAAAGATATGTTAGATTAGGATGTAATGTTACAGAAGGTAGTGATATTGAATCAGCAATCAAATTAAAAGGTACTTCAGTGGCAAACCTGACACCAAATAGAGAAAAAAATAAAGGAAAAATAAATACAATAGCTGGTATATCCAATTGGTTTGAATGGCAATGGCCAACAGAAGGTCAATATGCTGATTATATTAGAGCTAGATCTTTACCTAACATGGGTGAATGGAAAAAATTTTCTCCAGTGCAAATTCAAAAATTATCAAAAGTAGAAGTAACTAAACCTCATCCACAAACTTCTATTCCAACCAAATCAAATATACCCTGGACTTCTTCAATTCCTAAAAATATAGGTAATCATCCATAAAAATTATTCAAAATTATTTCTTTAAATAAAATTTTTTATTAACAAATAATTCTTTACAATTTATTTGAAAATAAATTTATTATTAGATAATCAAGCTAACAAATCAAAAACCAGTAATATAATGCTTCAACCAAGTTAAATATTGTGAGTTGTTTAAATCCATAAATTATTGTTATATAGAACTAAATTGCAAATATTTATTAATATAATTTTAAATAGCATTTTTGATGAATTTTTGAAAGAAGGATGGGCATTAAAAGAAAATCAAAAATTTGGAAACAAGGGAGGTGGAACAAAATTTTCTAAAAAAATAATTCCCATTTTACAAGGATTTTTTCATGCAGGTAATATTGACAAAAGTGATCGATATAATGCCCAAAGTATATATTCTGAATTATTGAAAATGACTGAAGAAAATGAAATAAGTCAAGAATCAATTCCAAAAGTAGAATCTATACAAAGTTGGATTACTCGTTATTCTGCAGCATGCAAAACTGAATCATCAAAAAATGCCCTTAACAATAATAACAATGAATAATTCATAATAAGTTTTTTTTGAATTTAAAATAATAAATTTATTGTTCATTATTACTTTGAGTATTATTACCATTAAAATTGGCTACATTGTGTTTGTAATGTTGCAATTACATATTTTTTCAAAACAAATAATATAAAATTCATTATTTCCTTCGTTATTTTGTATATATATTTTTACATGGAATCCACAGCTGCCCAAGAGTAAACTATTTATTTTAATGTAAATAAAGAGAAAATTTTTTACGTTTTTGAAAAATCAAGTTCCTATCCACAATACTGCATGATTTCTATCACTTGATGCATTTTTTTAATTTTATTAATGACGATTGCCCGGATTTTATTAGTTTCTATCGCTGATCGGCGTAACATGAAGAAAAGTCTCACGAATTACGAAATAATATATAATAGGCTATAACATGTTTCCAAATTTGGAAAAAATCATGGTTATTTATTATATAAATAATTAAAATTTCTTTAATTGGATACAAAGTTTTTTTTTTTTTTTTGTATTATTTATCACTCTTTTTATTCTTTTCTTTTATAATATACATCACTCAATCACTCAATCACTCA